CAAGCTGGGTGACGTTGGGCATTTATTCACTCTGATCATCAGTTTCCTCCTTTGTAAAGAGGGATAATACTAATCCCTGCTTTCCAGAGTGCTCAGCATATAAGTAAATGCTCAATAAATGTCAGCAGTCACTAGAAGCAGCACAATGCTGGCTAGGGCCAGGCTATTCTTTGAGGGCTGGTGTCCAGTTTCCCTGAGAAGCCTCACCTATGGGCTCCCTCCCATAGAGGATGGGAGGTCAGCAGAGGAGGATGGAGGCCCATTGAAAAAGTCAGTCAAAGCTTTCACTGGCCCCTCAAATCATTAATTTGCGATAATGCCCACCATTTATTGTTTCATATGGCTTACGCACTCTGCTAGGCACTTGACATGATTTATATTTTTAATCCTTTTAAGAATTCTGTAGGTCAGTATCATTATGAGATGATAATTTTACAGGTTAGAAGAATGCATGTCAGAGAAGGTAAGTGACTGGCGTTATGTCATTGAATGCATCTGGGAATAAGGAGACTCCTGAATCCCCTCTGGAACCACTCAAATTATGGACACAGCAGACAGATGACGTGCACACCCTCCCTGCTACTGGGAAGGCAGTAGCTCGTGTCCTTCAGGGCCTGGGCCTCGAGGAAGCCGCAGGTCCCCATGAGAGTGAGGCTGAGGCCGCAGGAGGTGGCCCAGAAGGAACAATGTCCACCTTAGGTCTGGCTTCTGGCATCATTTTTCCAAAAATGCATTTTGCTCATTTCCCTCTGTCTCTGTTTTCCTGTCTGCAAACTGAGTTTTAACTATTTGCCTTCTTCCCAGAAACATAGTCAAGGGGGGAGAGTACTTTTAAAACACGCCATAAAGCCTTGGGTAGAGTCCCTGTATAATTATCCTCGACCTCATACACTAAGACTGGCTTACAAAGGATGGAATTTTAAACTAATCATACAAATAAACTCTGAAACATCATTCAACTGACTCTTCATTTATCACTTTCCCACACTTAAGTATTTACTGAATGAACAAACATTGTAGAAACTAAAGCAGATGGATCACATGACGACTGGAGTGTGGCATGAGGACTCAGGCAGGGCAGACATCTGGGGGAGACTTGCTCTCACACCCCAGTGGGGTCTCTGTAAAAACCCAGATGATGACCAAGGAGAGTCCTTAGTTGTGCCTCCCCCACCTCTCTCTGGACACTGCCTACCTCAGTCTATACAACCCTGGGGACCTCCTCTTCTTCCCTCCCCCTAAGGAAGAGAGTAGATGTGCTCGGACACACTTTCATCAGAGAACTAGAGAAAACGGTGGTGTGTCATTTGTATTCAGTTCATGTTCCTCAGTCTGACCTGCACAAGATCCAAACTCTGGGTAATGGTATCATAGATATCACCATGGGTCTGAGATTATAGGCCATTACTTTTCCTAAAGGACAGATTTATTGAGATATAATTCATATGCTATACACTTCACTCATTTAAAGTGTATGAAGCAATGATTTTTAGTATATTCACAGTGTTATATAACTACCCACAGTCAATTTCAGAACATTTTCATCACCCATAACCTTTAGCAATCACCTCCCATTCTTCTCAATCCTTTGCAGCTCCCAGCCCTCAACAACCACTAATTTACTTTCTGTCTCTACATATCTACCTATTCTGGACATTTCAAAGAAATGAACTGATGTAATATGTTGTCTTTTGTGACTGGCTTTTCTTGCTTAGCATAACGTTTTCTAGGTTCATCCATGTTGTACTATGTGCCAGAATTTCCTTCCTTTTTTATTGCTGAAAAATATTCCATAGATTTTTGTTTTTTTGAGACAGAGTCTCACTGTCACCCTTGGTAGAGGTATGGTGTCACAGCTCACAGTAACCTCAAACTCTTGGGCTCAAGTGATCCTCAAACTCTTGGGCTCAAGTAATCCTCTTGCCTCAGCCTCCCAAGTAGGGACTACAGGTGCCTACCACAAAGCCCAGCTTTTTTTTAGAGATGAAGTCTTACTCTTGCTCAAGCTGGTCTTGAACTCCTGAGCTCAAGCAATCCACCCACCTTGGCCTCCCAGAGTGATGGGATTCCAGGAGTGAGCCATTGCATCCAGTCTTAATATTCCATTGTTTGAATATACCATTTCCATTTGGTTTGCCCATTTATCAGCTGATGGATATTTGGGCTTGTCTCAGTCAGTTTTGTGCTGCTACAACAGAATGTCACAGACTGGGTAAATTATAAAGAACAAGCTCAGTTCTGGAGGCAGAAAAGTCCAAGATCAAGGCCCTAGTATCTGGTCTCTGGTGAGGACTTTCTTGCTGTGTTTTTGGAAGGGAGGAACACTTTGTCTTCACACGGCAGAAGGTGGGAGGGCAAAAAAGGAACAAGCTCCCTCTGTTAAGCCTCTTAATAAGGACACTTGCATGAAGGGAGGAGCCATCACAACTTAATCACCATGTCAAGGCCGCACCTCTTAATACCAGCACACTGGCCACAACAGGGTTATTTTTGCTTTTTGGCTATTGTGTGAACACTGCTATGAACACTAGTATGCAGGGTTTTATGTGGACATAGGCTTTCAATTCTCTTGGCTACACGCCTGTAGAACTGTTAGGTCACAGAACAACCATGCTTAACTGTTAAGGAAATGCTAGACTATACCCTTTACATTCTCAGCCCCAGTGTGTGAAGGCTCCAATTTCTTCATGGCCTCACCAACATCTGTTATTGTCTGTCTTTTGGGGACAGCCATCCTAGTGGGGGTGAAGTGGGTGTGATTTATATTCCCCTGATTATTAATGATGTTGATCATCTTTTCATGTGTATATTGGCCATTTGTCAATCTTTTTTGGAGAAATGTCTATTCAAACCCTTTGTTCTTATTTTAATTGGATTATTTGTCCTTTTATTATTGAGTTGTAAGAGCTCTTCTCATATTTCTAGATAAGATAGTCCTATATCAGATATGTGATTTGGGCATATTTTCTCCTTTTCATCTTCTCAAAGCTGTCTTTTGAAGCACGAAAGTTCGTAAATTTTGATAAAGTCCAAAGAGCTATTTTTTCTTTTATTGCTTATGTTTTCTGGTGTTAGATGGCTACTTTTTTTTTTTTTTTTTTTTTGCAGGTTTTGGCTAGGGCTGGGTTTGAATCCGCCACCTCTGGCATATGGGGCCAGCACCCTACTCCTTTGAGCCACAGGCACTGCCCTTAGACGGCTACTTTTTACAGTTCTTTAGGTGTTAGGTCTCCATTCAAGGTCATGCTTGACCCATCAGACTAGTTCCTACACTGTTTCTGCCCTTCAGGCCCAAAGCTTAATCTCCCTCTCTGGCATCAAGAAGATCCCTGCCTCTGCCTGGCATCTAGTCAAAGAGTCCTTTGTTTGGTGCCTTAGAGCATGGACTCTGATGTTAGACTCACCGGATGTGATTCCCGGCTTTGCCACATATACATTGCATGAATAACCCCAAACCTTGATAAGGTTCAGTTTCTTCATTTGTAAAACATTGTGAAAATTACAGAAAATAATTCATGCAAAGTACTTAGCCCATCACCTGGTACATCATAAGTAATAAGTCAGGCGGAATGGCTCACACCTGTAATCCCAGCACTCTGGGAGGCTGAGGCAGGTAGACTGCTTGAGTGAAATCCCATCTCTATTTTAAAAATAGGAAAAAAATTAGCTGGGCATTGTGGCAGGTGCCGGTAGTTTCTGGCAAGGCTGAGGCAAGAGATTGCTTGAGTCCAAGCACGCCACAGCACTTTAGCCTGGGACAACAGAATGAGACTCTCTCAAACAAAACAAAACAAAACATAAGTAACAAATGCTTGTTGCTCCTGTAATGCTGCTGTTTTCCACCCTGTCCCCGCCGAGGCACCTGCCATTCTGCTTTGTTTCCCTCCCCGCTCACCCAGGGGAGCAGTGCCTCTTCCCTGTCTTGCAGATGTCACCCTGCCCCCGAGTCCAGCTCTTCATCCAAACCTCATCCTCAACTGTCTGTTTTATCCCCATATCTTCTAGTGGTTACTGAGACACACTTACAACTTTAGAATTCCTCTTCCTGGGCTTCACCTCCACCCAGCCTCTCCTCTCCATGGCCTGGCTGCCTTTTCGATGTGTTCAGTTAGGGCTTTCTGGTCCACACTTGCCTGCCTCCCCCCTCTACTGCCTCTCTTTCTACTCCACCCTGTGTCCTCCTGCCACCCCCGGCACCTCTTGGCAGCTTTCTACACACACCAGGTTCATGCCCACTTAAGCTGCCTCTGTCCACAGAGCTCTTCCTCACATAGCTGCTTGGCTGAGCGCCTCCTCTCCTTCAAGCCTTTGCTCAGATCTCACCTTTGCAATAAAGCTTGTCCTGATTACCCAGTTAATACCATAACTTGCCTACCCGTCACTGTGAGCATGCCTAATCACCCTTGTCTACTCGAGCATTTCTTTTTTCCATAGCAATTACCATCTTCCATCTTTCTGCATAATTTACTTCTTTGTTATTTAGCATTTAAATATTTTTTAAAACTCTGTAAGGATATAAGCTTTACCTGAGCAGGGATGCCTGCCACTTTATTCTCTGGCATTGCCTGAGTACCTAAAAGCACGGTCTACCAGCCAGCTGCTGGGCAAACATCCACTGAGATGAACAAATGGTGGTGGGGACTCACATTTCTCTGCATCCTCTTGTGAGCATCACATATTACTGGCTGCCCTATGTGTTTCCTCTTTTGTGACCTGTCTGATAATTTCACCACTTTCCCAAGTTTTCTCTTGTAGGGATCTGTAGGAATTCTTTAGATCTTCATCTTTCGTTAGCAAGCTCATTCATCTGATGACAGTACATGGCACATGGAAGGCACAGAGAATCCAAAGGTGGTGAATACTGAGATGAGAAGTCACGAACACAGATGTCTTCTGGCTGGTATCAGTGTGCATTCGAATTTGGATGGGAACAAGAAAACATTCCCTTTCAAAAGGTACTTAATTAAATAATTACTAGGGAAAGAAATGGTCCAACTCACCCTGGCAGGCAGTCCCCACAGACGGCATCGCTGGTGGCTGAACAATTTGCCTTCTGAAAGCGGTTCACCAGTGCACAGTCCAGACACGGCTTACATTTCTGGAAACCCCAGTCCTCCTTGAACCTGTGGGGCCGGCATGTCACACACTGTGCATCCTCCCCATAGCCGAAGCCACATTCCTGTGGGGATTAACAGGCAATAGAAAGCTATTCAGACCTTGCAAGCGTGAAAAAGGAAAGACCACTGGGATGAAACAAAGACCTGGTGTAATAATTACCAAGGGTCGCCTTTCTAGACACAAAGGCAGCTCTTTCAGCAAGTTCAAATGTGTCTTCCACTGCTAATAATCTCTCTTACTACCCTAAGTATACTTAGTCATCCACTTTATTCAAGAACCCATGAGCATGGGAATTATAAAGGGTCTCTTGGGCTCCCACTGCTCCATTATTGAGAGCGTATGGCAGAATTATGGCATATTCTTCTTCTCCAATTAAGCCAGTCATGCGAATGCTCAGAGGCTAAAGCCGGTGAAACATTCAGACGCTTACTTTTCAAGGGAGAAAATAAGTACTTTGATATCAATGGTGATACTTTAAAAAATGAGGACAATGGCATGAGAAATTCCCAAGTGTATGAGCCCAGAAACCCATCCAAAAGAAAGTTCCTTGAAATGTTTATCAATTTGCTATTTCTTGAGAGAAGAAAGGGTCTTAAATAGCTAAAGGGTGCTAACTTCTTGTTGAGACAAACCCCATGGCATTAAAGGCCCCATGCTTCTCTAGATTTGGACATCAAAAATGCACTGTTTGCCAAGGGCAGAAGAAACAGATGGCTCTTTGGCCTACATAGGATCATTGTCACAAGTTCAAGAACACAGTAAACTATAGCACATCATAAAATGTAATTATAATGCAATCATAAAAAGAATGATGTAGATAATATGCATGTGTTTATGAAAGTTTAAAAAATAAGTTATAACAGAACTAGAAGTATAATTTCATCACTTACAAAAACTTTCACAGTAAGTACCAATATTTGTTGGGTGTTTACTCTGTGCAGCAACTTTTTTATTTTTTAAAATACGTATTAGGGCCGGGCACGGTGGCTCACACCTGTAAACCTAGCACTCTGGGAGGCCAAGGCAGGTGGATACCTTGAGGTCATGGGTTCGAGACCAGCCTGAGCAAAAAGCAAGACCCCATCTCTACTAAAAATAGAAAAACTGAGGTAAGAGGATCACTTGAGCCCAAGAGTTGGAGGTTGCTGTGAGCTATGATGTCATGGCACTCTACCCAGGGTGACAGCTTGAGACTTTGTCTCAGAAAAAAAATAATAAAATAGAAAATAAAATAGTTACTTTGTTTTTTTATTTATTTTTCAAGGATGAGGTCTCGCTATGTCACCTGAGCTGTCTTGAACTCCTAGGCTCCAGTGAGCCTCCCACCTCAGTCTCCCAAATACCTGGGACTATAAGTATGAATTGCCATGCCCAGCTTATACTGAGAACTTTACACATATTATCTCAATAACCCAGACAGAGGGAGTGTTAGAACCAAGATTTGAACCTAAACGGGCTAATCCCAGAGTCGACATTCATAACCACTGCACTATTGGTTGTGTCAGGTATTTCTCATACGTACATTACACATCTGTAGGAAGACACCTGAAAGATTTCATACTCACATGTTAACACTGGTTGTCTATACTTTGTGATGGCTTCTATAGAACACTGGTCATTTAAAAAACCCAAACCAAAAACAGACAGTGGCTTAAGAGGAACAGAGGGATATCCATGTAGACAGCAGGCTGAGCAAACCCACAAATGCAGGCTTGATGCTGCAGAGGGAGGGGACTCAGATGAACTCTCTTAGGGCCTCCAGTTTCTTCATTTGTAAACCTCAGATATTAGAATACAAGTTCCAGCTAGTTTGAAATTCCCATTTTCTTTTTTTCAGACAGAGTCTACCTCCATCACCCTATGTACAGTGCCGAGTTGTCATAGCTCACAGCAACCTCAAACACTTGGGTTCAAGGGATCCACCTGCCTCAGCCTCCCAAGGAATTGGGACTACAGGCACCAGCCACAATGCCCAGCTAGGGTTTCTATTTTTAGTAGAGACAGGGTCTCAAACTTGCTCAGGTTGAACTCCTGAGCTCAAGCTATCCATCTGCCTTGGCCTCCCAAAGTGCTGGGATTACAGGCATGAGCCACTGCACCTGGGCCAAAATTGCCATTTTCTATACAATTTATATATTTTAATTTCTTCACCCATTTTATATGCAAAGGCAACTAAGCAGCACTTATTGGAGAAAAATTAATTCAAAACCAACTTAAGAAACTATTTGATAAAAGATCCTAAGTCATCACTTCAATCTAGACTTTTTTTTTTTTTTTACTAATTAACTCATTCACATTTTGGATGAGCAATCCCTTCTTTCCTCCTCTCAATTAGGCTGCCTGTCTTTCAGATGCACTTCTTGAACGCACACAAAGAACTGGGGGGAAAAAGTGCAAGGTCAACCTCCTTCTTAATCCTGAATGTTCAAGCTACACAATAATCTAAACCAAAGGCACAGACAGGAGAGAGAGAGAGAGAAGCATTTGATTTAAAGAACTGATTCACAAATTAGTGTCTTCAAAATCATTAACAGACTATGTCTTTGAGGGGAGGGAGGTTAGTATAATAGAATTATGAGGCGTTTTTCAATTTTTATAATTCCACAGTATGTAATTTAATTTTTACAAAAGCATTCATTACTCCTGTAATCAGGAAAACAATCAAAACACATATTCAAAAAGAATTTCTTTGGACATATGCTAGGTCTTTGTGGGGAGGTCATTGTTAGTCTGGCTCTGCACTGGAACAGCTGTTGTTTGGCTGAGCACTTTAGTTGCTGAGAGAGCTGTGTGCATGCAAAGGCTTTCTCTAAGTACGGAAGAGAGCCTCCCACTCCCATAGTCTCCTGGGATCAAAGCGAGGTGCATGTGACATTCTGGGGGTGGGCCCCACATTGTTCACACGATCTGCACGTCAAAGGTTCATGCAAGAGCAGAGTGTTTCAAAATCATGCTTTGATCCAGGCAGCTTGAGACTATAAAACTCTTACGTACAAGTTAAAACATGACAAAGAAGGAAAGAAAGAGGAAAGTAGAATGGAAAATAAAGGGAAAGAGAAAGGAAAATGCAGAGAAAAAGGTGCATTAACTAGGAGTATGCGTTGTCTACATTTTTTTTAAGTCAGGTTAATATAGGAAAAAAGGTATGTACTTTCCTACATTAGATCCAAAGTCACCTAAGTCTGAATGTCAACTCTGCCACTTATTGGCCAAGTTATTCTGTGTACTCTCTGACCTTCAGTCTCTTCATCTGCAAAAGGAAGATAATAATACCTCCCCTATAGAGTTCGTGTGAGGAATAAATATATAAAGCCTCTAAATTCTAAATCAAACACAGAGTTAACATTCATTAAATAAATTTTAACTACAGATATTATTATTTTGAATTTTCTACAATCCAACTTTTCTTTCTTTTTTTTTTTGAGACAGTCTCACTTTGTCACCCTCAGTATAGTGCTGTGGTGTCACAGCTCACAGCAACCTCATATTCTTGGGCTTAAGCGATTCTCTTGCCTCAGCCTCCTAAGTAGCTGGGACTACAGGTACCTGCTGCAATACCTGGCTATTTTTTATTGCAGTTGTCATTGTTGTTTTAGGTGGCCCGGGCTAGGTTTGAACCCACCAGCCTCAGTGTTATTGTGGCTGGCGCCGTAACCACTCTGCTATGGGCACTGGGCCAAACCAACTTTTCTGATTCAAGTCTAACAAAGCTCCATTGGAAATCAAGGGGATCTTCAGACCTTGATTTCTTCAAGGTTACTTGGAACATACCACTTTGCATTTAAAACATTTTAATTGAATAAAAATATTTCCAAAATAAATCATAAATTTTTTAAACTAAAAAAGTTTTTGAAGCAGTATACAAAGTATAATTTAACCTTCTCTCCTTGAATCCACTACTCATTGTGCTGTAATTCAAGGCCCCACATCTCCGTGGGCAGTTTTACTGTTTTCATATCACTGCCTGGCAGACAACTATCATTCCTCACCCCAGCTGACTCTGTCTTCAACAATTCACTTCCTCTCTCCATTGAGAAACTAGATAAGTAAGTGATCCGACCAGAAATGAACTTAAAAGAAATCTAAATAGAAGTTTTGAAGCATTCATCTCTCTTGAAAACAAACTCCTAGTTTGGCACGGGGGTAGTGTTTGTACTTCTTTTCTCTTATTCCTGACCGCACTATAGACTTTGTATTGTACACAGGACCATTTTGACCATGTGTTTTCACCATATCTTACTCTATGTCATTTACATGGCATTGTATTTTGCAGAATGAGTATTTCATGAAGGGGTTTGTTTATCTGTTTTGGGTTCATTCTATCCTGGATCATCAAATCATGTGTACAAAGAAATCAATATCAGGCTCCTATTTTGCCTCTGTTATCTGGATATCAACCTACTACTCCCGCTCAGAGTTGATAGGTTTTGGTGGCAGCAACAGTAATTTTCATTGGGGTGAGTTTAGGTGAGGGCTGAGATAAACCTTTGCATGCAGTTCTGTTCACAAAATAATAAAATTTATTGAGCATATGCCAAACACTCTCCTGGGAACCTTTATAGAGATTGCTTACTTAGGGAAATTCTATTTGAAATATCTTTTCTCCAAAGTATTTGCCACTTTCAAAAAGATATTATTAAAAAATCGGCCTAATTTTTAAAAAATTATTAAAAAACAGCTTGCAGTTCTTGATAGTCTAAGAAATTAACAAAGTGACCATTACACGTTGAATTGACTGAGAAACCCTGAATTAATGAGAAATTCAGAGAAGTTATTTCCAAGGAATTAAATTACAGTATAGTGTCCACGGCAGCAACCACTTTCTGAGTTGACTGTCATATTTCTAATGTACCATAAACACAGACCCTATAATTATTTGTAATCCAGGCCATAAAGTCAACAGTATATAAATATTAAATTACCCCCAATATAAATGTCTGCTTTGATGTTTTTATTTCACTCAGTAAAACCAGGTGGTTAAAATGCCTTGAAATCTCCCCATTAAAATGTTCAATAACTTCCAAGAGGAAAAAGAAAGAAGCAAAACAGCCCAGAGGGAGG